TGCCCGCCCGCCCGCCCGCCTACTCACCTGCCAGCAAACATGGGGCTGTTTAAACCATCGCTAATGGAAAATCGCCCATAGGAAACATCGCTATTCAAAGAGAAAAAAAGCCCCAAAAAACTAATCGCTATTCGGTGTCATCGTTAATAGAAGTGCTCACTATTCGAGGCACCACTGTATCTTCAGCAGCATCTGTTCTCCCGATTCGCAGCTATGTGCCAAACCCTGGGAGTCATTATGTTGTGGAGGCTGGTTGGATCTGGACTGTAAATGTAGTATTACAAGAAAGGATGGAACTTGCAGAGAGAGAGAGAGAGAGAGAGTAGGAAGACTGAGAAGAGCTGTAAAGTGAAATGAGGGTCCAACAGGAATAAGATTTGCAAGAGAAGAGGTCAGTGATGGGCTGTGGAAAATGAGGGAGGGAACCATTGGTTCAGTCATGAACTGTGAGAGGAAATATCAATGGAGGAAGGAGTGGAGATGTGGGAATTGTGAAGGAACAGAAAGGATGCATCAATCTTATTTTTGGCCAGTGGACAGAAACCACTGATCTAGACCATCAAAGCAGTATTCTTAAAAAGAATGTGATGTGTAATTCAGGGTATTTTGGCAGGTTTGAAGTTTTGAAGGAATCTATGGAAAGAATTCTATGAAAAAAAGCAGGGAGGGCTTGCCAAAACAAGATAAAGAATTCGCTTCCTTGGAATTCTTTCCTCCTCCACCACCACCTTCTTGTGAACAAGTCATGCAAATGTTATATTCCCATATAGTAATGGTATAAAAGGTGTTATACTACAAAGCAGACTATACATTTTTTCAAAAACAAATTCTTAGATGACCAAAACCGTTTTGTCTAGTGCCATATCTACAGTGTTTACCAGTTCAGACTTAATCACTAAAATTGTTATATGTGATACATGTGTGTCAAGGTCAAATATATGACACTCGAACAAAGTCTTCAGGGCACAATAAGACTTAAAGCACTCCTTAGTAGTTTGAGTCTGTGGGGGCCCATCACAGCTGACATTTTCCCGTATAGGGTTAATCACAGTGTGAGATCTGATAACAATCACATTAAAATTCATCTGGGTGCACATCCAGTGTAGATTTTTTACTTACGGAGAGACTGGAAGACACACACACACCTTGTTAGCTTTGGTAAAATTATTTAAAGATGCAAAAAAGATGCACGTTTTGGTAAAATTATTTAAAGGAATTAGTAGATACCACTGTAGTTTTGCATGTGGCATCTTCTAATTTCTAGAAAATTGTGCCTAGATTCAAATTTACTAAAATAGCATCATATGCACACATACGTACATACCTGGTGTGCTCTTTGCTGAAGAGCTAGTGAACATAGGCATCCTTCAGTCTCGAAAGACTATGGTAACGTGTTATGTATGGAGGACTTGGAACAGCGTTTAGTGTAGCTCAGGTGGCCGATTCAAGAGTAACGGTCCCTTCCACACTGAAGACAAATCCAGTCTGTCCCCTGTCCAGCTCCCTGGTTTTGCTGCTTTTGTGACTTCCTCTTTGCCTCGGCCTGCCGGACCAGGGTCTCTTCAAATTGGGAGAGGCCGTGATGCAACGCCTGCCTCCAGGCTGAATGCTCAGATGTCAGGGTTTCCCAGCTGTTGAGGTCCATTCCTAAGGCCTTCAGATCCCACTTGCAGATGTCCTTGTTTCGCAGCAGTGGTCTCCCTCTGAGGCAATTTCCCTGAACTAATTCTTCATACAGGAGATCCTTTGGAATCCGACCATCAGCCATTCTCACAGAATGCCCAAGCCAACGTAGACATCGCTGTTTCAGTAATGTATGCATGCTAAAAATTCCAGCTCATTCTAAGACTACTCTATTTGGAACTTTGTCCTGCTAGTGAACATAGTGGCCTAGAATTGTTGGTATTGGGAAGATCCTTTCAGAATGAACTTTGAATTTATTGTTTTATTACTGCAGACAAATTTCCCAGTTTGTCCAGAAAACAGATTTCTACACATTCTGTATCAGTAACAAGCAGATTTTTTTATTTCTGTCTACATACTGTATAAACCATAATTTTTGGTATATGTACGTGTTATGTGCTGTTAAGTTGATTGCAGCTTATGGAGGCCCTAGTAAGGTTTCCAAGGTATGTGAAATATTTCAGGAGTGGTTTTACCAGTGCCACCTTCCAATGAGCTTCCATGGCTGAGTGGAGGTTCAATGCTGTATCAGCCGTATTACCTTAGCTCTCATATATACTTTAATATTACATAGGGAGGAAAATCAAAGAAATTCTTTATCTAGTTTATCAGTAGCAGTCATTGACAGAATCATTCTCCATATGTGAAACTTCAGTAATCTTTGTGAATCTATTCCTGACTTTTCCTGGACAGCTTTGCCCATACAAGGGAAGGAGGAACCATCAGAAATAAGACAGAAGAAAAACAGGAGGCAGGGCTGAAAGATGTGTAACAAGAAAAGAAAGGGGGGGAAAGATCAGGAAATAAATCTCAATAAAACTGATATGAGCGAGGTATGGACTGGGATAAATAACATAAATGTACTGAAAATTAAAGGTAACATTTAATTTAGCATTCCACACAGATATATTTACATCAAAGAAAATAGCATGTTAAATATACACAATAAAACAGGAGATGTATCATAAAGCTAAGTAGTCACATTGAAAATACCAATTAAAAGTAGCAGGCATGTTTCGACTTTTGTCTTCCTCAGTGATTCTCAGTTCTGGCAACCCACTGTTTATTGTGTTGGGGGTTTAATAACTTAGTTGTTTTGCCTTTAAAAGAAATACTGTTGAAGAACACAAAGCATGCAATATGTCTGGTATTTTCAATATGGCTATGTAGGTTGATGTAACAGAAATGACCTACAATTCAGTATTCTCCCTTTGCCCACATCTTTTCTGATTTATTAGCTTCAGCTGTGTCTCCCTCAGTAGGATTGAAAACACAAAAATTTGAAGTCAGTCATAATGGCAGCGAAAAAGCAGAGTAAAGGTGCAAGGGGATGAACCACATTGACTGAAATTCAGTAGTGAAATGTGCAGGCTGAAAGGCTGATGGTGAATTTGGGTTTTTTCAGATTTACAAATTGCTGATCTACCCTGCCTCTGAAGGTGCCACGGCTCCCAGGGATCCCTCTTGTCTTGGGGAAAGCCACTGGGGCCTGTGGAATTGGAGAGAAGTGATGGAGGAAGGAGATGGTTTAGAAGAAGAAGCACTGGTGTAGAGGAGGAAAGAGCCAAGGAGGGAAAACCTAACCTAGGCTGTGTTGGGCCCTATGAAAGGAGGAGGAGAGGCAACGAAGCAGAGAAAGACCAAAGATTAGCTTTGAGCTACTGGGAAATCAGCCCCACTGCATTCAGCCAGACTTGCTGAGCAACTGTACGTATATGTAAGATTCAGAGTTTGGGATTGTGCACACTCCTCTGTCAAACTGGCTGTTCTGATGAGCTTGCAACCTAAATAAATAAGTCTAGAAATGGGAAGGCAGATTTGGAGCTGATGCTTCCTAGCCTACTCAGCTGTCACAGATCTTCGTGGGCTGTCATTTCATACACATCCCCACGTTTGGCGGGGATTTTGCTAACGGTTTGTACATTGTTCTGGTGGTTACCCTGATAATCTTACTAGTGTGTTTAGCTTTTGTTGAATAAGACCCAAGGGGACTGGTAGGTAATGTGTGTAATGTTTACTCTCAGCATTGGCCTAATTTTGCTTTTGTTCAGGCTAACAATAATGTAACAAGCAACCTCCCAGAGAAACAGAGCTAATTAGGCAGGCCCTGTACAATTCTGAAAATCCAGCTCTGCATCATCCCTGACATGCCATAAATTCTGGATATGTTCTCACAGCATTGAGTCACCGTTGCCCTCATTTTGCCATGTGTATCTTGAAGCAATTACTTGCTAAGCTTCTCTCCAGAAGGCAGTGTTCTACACTAGATAGATCTGAAGGTGAATTGCTACAGCCCAGTAACGAGCAATTGTTACTGTTGTTACATGCCATCAAATTGCCTCCAACTTAGGAGGATGCTATGAATGAACCATCTCCAGAATGTCCTGTCCTCAACAGTTCCTGGTTAAGTTCTTGTAAACTCAAGGGTGTGGCTCCTTTCCCAGGCTTATTATCCTTCCCAGATAGTGTTGGCTTCTCATGATGTGCCCAAAGTAGGACAGCCTGAGTTCCATCCTTTTTGCCTCCAGAAATAAATAGTTCAAGGTTGATTTGCTCTATGACCCATTTGTTTGTCTTTTTGACATTCCAGAGTATCCACAAAGCCCTTCTCCAGCACCATATTTCAAAAGTATCAATTTTCTTCCTGTCAGAGGTTTTTTTACTGTCCAGATTTCGCAATGTACACACAACAATAGCCAGTCAATATTGCACTTCAGAGACAACTGTGTTAACCCTTGTCAAGTTGGCTAAAGCAGCACTTTATTATTGCATGTGCATGTTTGTGCATGGATGGATGGATAGATAGATACAGTTGCCTTCCTCAGTTACTGTGTTTCCCCGAAAAAAAGACAGGGTCTTATGTTAATTTTTGCTCCAAAAAAATATTAGGGCTTATTTTCAGGGGATGTTTTATTTTACAGTTGTGTCATCTTCTGGTTGCTGCACAATGGTGAAGGGTGGGGTTTCACTTAACTAGGGCTTATTTTGGGAGTAGGGCTTATATTACGAAATTGTTCTAGGGTTTATTTTCAGGTTAGGTCTTATTTTCGGGGAAACAGGGTATCTAGGAGTCATAAGAAGAGTACTTCTTAATCGTTTTTAAAACATGCCTCTGTGCTCAGACATTCTCTGAGCTAATTTTTGATGCTCTTTTATATATTGACCGTTTGTAATTGTGTTTGTGGAACAAATTAATACTGTCAGGGTTTTTTGAAGCAGTAAGGGGGTTCAATAAACAAGAAGAATAGGCAGAAAGAAACATAGATGGGGAATTAGATTTGAATGTCGTTGTCTGATTGTTGTTCCTCTGCCTGCAGGTTGAGCTCCGAGCCACTGATATCAAGCTAATGCGACAGCTACTCATCATCAATGAAAGCATTGAATCCATCAAATGGATAATTGAAGAAAAGGGCGGCATCACCAGCCGGGGCAGCAGTTTGAGCGGTAGCCTCTGCAGTTTGCTGGAGAGCCAGGAGACTTCTCTGCGAGGCAGCTGCAATAGTTTGCAAGACTATAGCGATGGACTGGATGGAATATCTGTGGGGAGTTACCTGGACACTTTGGCAGACGATGTCCCAGGCCACCGTACACCTTCAGACGTGGACCAGTTTAGTGACTCTTCTCTGATAGATGACCCCCAGGCTTTACATAAGCACCCCAAGATTGAGTCTGACGAATACTACTGCTTTAGTTAATAAAATTGAACTCTAGCAGGGACACATGTGCTCTTGTATTTATGATTCTTCAATGCTGCTATTTGTTTTGAGTACTTTAAAAGCACCTTTATGAAAGACAACCAGTTTTAAATCTGCTTTATTTCTCTCTCTCGCTCTTTTTCTTCCTGTTGTTACTCCTAAATCTTTCTTCCTCTTCTGGATGGTTTTCTTTCTTTTTGTCGTTTTAATTTATTGCTGTAGTTGCTTTCTTCCTTTTTATACTACTGCTCTGAATGACTTTTTTTACAAAAATAAAAGGCAAGGAAAATTAACTTTTATCTCTAACATGAAGTGTGGGAATGAACTTTCATTGAATTCAATAAAACACTTGCCATTATCTGTGGATCTCAGTTAAATATTCTTGACAGGCAGGAAAATGAGGATATTTACCACAGTGTTCAATGGAAAAAAAGTTTCCCAGAATGGCTTATTAATAATAAGTAAACAATTACGGCCTGTAGGCTTGCAGCTTCACCCCATAATGCACAAGGAAGAGAAATTGAGAAGAGAATTATAATTAATAGTATAAACGATTTTATAACTAATCTGGGAATTGTCAAATAAAAAAATCCTAAGTGCTATCTTAGAAGGGAAGGCCACGAAACCATCCACATGAAGCTAATGCAGTCATTCAGAAAAATGTGTTACAACTCAAATGACTTCAGAATGAAGGTCACTCATCAGATGGGATTAAAAACTTTTACATAACAAATAAGCAAAATTGTATTGTGCTCAAAGACTAGGACACAAACATACAGTACCCATCCAAGCTATACAACACATGATACTGTTCATAATGACCTTATTAATAAAATATAACGATAATCATGTGTCGACAGAAAACCAGCATATCCAAGAACAAGCTAAATTTTCCTGGAGTTTTTAATATTTAAACTGGAGTATGTTAACCTTATACTCAAGTGTGCAGAGACAGTTTATGACTTAGAGGAATATTGAAGAATTCACATTTCCTGTTGGCTTTCTGAGCTGGGTCAGATAACTAGCTCAGGGCCAGCAAATGAATCTGTAAAAGGCAAGCAGCAGAAGCACAAGGCAATGGCAGTGAATACAAAGCAGCAAACAGATCTCTCTGTTGGTATTCTGAAAGCAGGTTAAACAACATGCTTTAAGCTAAAATCTTAAAATCTTTGGAATGTGTACAGCTTACAATTGTGAGTTAATTTGTTTTTCTTCTAAGAAATGTAGCCTTACCTCTGCTAAAACCAGACATTCAGTTCATCCTAACTTGAAAGGCCTTTTGCTACATTTACTATAGAGAATTTACTATTTCTTCAACAAACGGTTCAGTTCTGTAAGCCAGCTCCTTGGTCTTCAATAAACGTGTCCATCTCAGAGATGTTATAAATGTTTAGCCTTAAACTTAAATTATTTCACCATAGTGTGTTTGGTTCTCTGCTGGCATTATTCATATGAAGGAGCAATGTGAGTACAAAGGGACTTTGAGACAATGGCATTAGCCCCTGCTCCCACCACGTGGCTCACTTATTTCTACTTCCACTGGGTGGCTATTAATCATTGCCCCAAAAGAGGGGGGGAAACCACATCACCAAAAACAAGGCACATGAAAGCTGCATATGCTGCTTTCTATATAGTGCTGCAATTTTTTTAATGATTTACAACTATTTCAGAAAAATTATATTCTCTCACCGTTGCGGGAAAACAGACCAGCTGAGGGTGCGACTATACTGTTGAATTAAATCGATAACTGATACAGGCTTTTAAAAATCAATTTAACAGAGTGTAGTCTTCACGGAACAAGTTTTAGTCTAGTTATAAGGTGTGTGATCTATTGGCACTTCAGCACTCTGGGTCCCAGTTTTTCCTCTGTACTGGGAACTTAATTCTTCATCTCAACTGTACCTTGTGTCTTTCCTGAGGAGGAGCTTGCCTGCCTTGAGATAGCTAACACAGTTTTTATTCAACAAAGCCAGCATCAGGAGCCTACAGCACAACTCACAACTCTTAACAGCTGGTTCCTCTGTCCTTTAAGAATCATCATGTCTGGTCTAGATAGCATTTTAAAAATATTTTAATATTTAATTTTTAAAATATAATTTTGAAGTGGCATAGTGCAAGGTTGATGCAGCCCTAAGATGTACCTAAAAAACACATCATTTAAGTTCTTTAGCCCAAAACCTTTTGATGTTCATGGAGGGATCGTGCAAGTTTCTATTACTGATTGACAAGGTTATCACAAGGTTTGTGATTGACAAGAAGATAAACTTACCATAGGAGTGGTTCCGTGTATTATTTTTTAGCATATTGCATTTTTTATCCTAGCTTTTGAGCCTGAGGCAGGGAGTAGGTCATTTTCATTCCATACTATCTCATAGAAACCTTTTGTAGTAAGAACATACAGAAATGTCTTATTTTTTATATTAAGTTGTAAGACTGATCCATCTAGCTCTGCGTTGCCTGCATTTACCAGAAATAGCTCCGTAGAGTTTTAAGGTAAAGGTAAAGGTTCCCCTTGACAATTTTTGTCCAGTCGTGTTCAACTCTAGGGGGTGGTGCTCATCCCCGTTTCCAAGCCATAGAGCCAGCATTTTGTCCGAAGACAACCTTCCATGGTCACATGGCCAGTGCGACTTAGACACGGAACACTGTTACCTTCCCACCGAGGTGGTCCCTATTTATCTACTTGCATTTACATGCTTTCGAACTGCTAGGTTGGCAGGAGCTGGGACAAGCGATGGGCACTCACTCCGTCGCGTGGATTCGATCTTACGACTGCTTGGTCTTCTGACCCTGCAGCACAGGCTTCTGTGGTTTAGCCCACAGCGCCACCACGTCCCTTCCGTAGAGTTTTAGGCAAAAGTATTTCCCATGTCCAGCCACTTCTGGAAGGGCCAGGGCCTGAGACAACAGTTTTTGGATTTAAAACAGAGCTTAGAAAAGTTACTTTTCAGACTACAACTCCCAGAATTGCCAGCCAGCATGGCCTGTGCGTCATAGGTAAAAAAATGAAACCTGACTTTAATCCTTTTACATTCAAAGAACGTGAATAGTTCACCTCTGATGGCTGATTAGGATTTGAACAGGGGCCTTCCTCCAAGGACAGTTATTCTACCATTCAAGATTGTTATTTTCCTTTTGTTTTTTCATGCTGATCTCCAGGTAATAAATCTTAGATTCACCAGTCAAGAGAGGCTGTTGTAAATGGTCAATATAGGGGAAATGACACTGGTCTATTATACAGAGTTTTGCAGTATGAAAACAAACCTTATCCGAATCCTTATCAAGGCAAAAATAGTGTAATATCAATTGAACGAACAGATGAGGATAACCTTTCTTCCAGACATTTGTTGAACGTGTGCTGGCCTTTATATTTTCAGCAGGGAAGCATTCATTTTTCCCTTATTCCAGTAGATTAATAGATTTAGATATAATTTAATGAGGTCTGCATAATATGCATGTATTTATTTATTTAATATCCATTGCATTGTATCTTAAGACTTTTACCAGCTTCCCCTTGAATCCAGGGGTGACACATGGACTAAGTTTAGGGAAGGCTTCCAGCTTCCAAATTTTTTTCTCAACCAGGGCTCTCCTCAGCAGAATGAGCAGCAGGGTCCCAGATGTAGTAAAGGCTATCTTACCGCATTTTGAAGTAACGGAGATTATTATCTGAACAGGTTGTGAGATGAAATAAGATGGTTGATTCTGGGCTGTATCTGTACCATTAATCATTAATCATCAACCACTGCCTCCAGCTTCACATTTCCCCCCCCCATGACATTTCATGCATCATCTGAGGTAAGTGGACATTAAGTTAAGTCAGAGTCTTATAAGCCCCCCTTTTTTCTTTTGCAATTGAAGTAATAATGAATGATTTGGAAAATCACTAAGTAACCAATCAACCAATTTAAAAGTACAAAAGTACTGCAGGATCTTAAAGACTAACAGATTTTTTAAAGGTATGAACATCCTTAGATTACAATTGAGTTCTTTAGAAATACAAAGTGAAACATTTAGCCACAGGCTGAAATACATATATATATATATATATATTGTGGTAGTGGAGATCCCAGAAACATCAGTGCTGTTATGTAACAGTGGAGATCCCAGGAGACAGCAAACATCAAGAGTTTGTGTGGGTTACACAAACATCTTGGCCATACCTAGAGTCTAACAGGTACGCATGTGCTTGTTTTTTTGTTTGTTTGGGGGTTTTTTTTGGGGGGGGGTTGTTTTGTTTTTTGTGGTTTTTTGGAAGTACAAAGGTTTGAAGCACAATGTACTACCAATGGCTTGGTGTTTTGTTTTTCCCCTGAATAAGCTATTGGCTAAATCCTGTAATGTTTTCATGCCGACATAACACAACTTGTACAAATCTCAGTGGTGACCTGCTGCAAACAAGGAGGGCAGTCCAGGCATTTTCTATTACGTGCTGAGTCTGAATGACTCCATAAACATCAGCGAATGCTTACACTGTCCTCTTTAATTGTGGCAATTCACTGCTGAGACGTTAACACCTATTTTGCTACAGTAGGAATTTGATAGGAATTTGACCTCTAATTCTGAAGTCTGAATACGTAACTTTTCTTTATAAGCAAGATCATAAAGGAAAAAAAATTATTGTGCTTTTAAGATTTATGTGCCTTCAGGTCACGTCCAAGAAGCTAGGATGTCTATAATAGCCTGTTGTCAAGGAGGCATGTAAGACTGGCTACCCTTCCTTCTGGTTTGTGTTCTATCCACTACATATACTCTAAGCTCTCTATCCATCCATTTGAGAAGTGCTACACGAATCCACTGTTTCTTTAAAATGCACCGAACTGGTAGATTCCATATGTTCTTTTTCAAGATCTGGTATGCAATGGAGACCAAAGAGAAGCAGTTTTGCATTTATTATATTTTTAGAAAGCCATCCAACTTCTGGAAGTTCTCTAGTTCCACAAAAATAATTTTATTCAGGCACTGATCCACAAACTAATTACTAACCTTGCCTTTAAAATCAGGGACTGCTGAGAATTCATCCAACCAAGCCAAAAAGGTACTGATTGTTGTTTTAATAAGTTAAAAAAATAGGAAAATTGCAATACAAAAGTTATGGTTC